ATGTCCTTGAGATCTGTCCAAGTTGTTGGGTGTATGAGCAGTTTGTTCTTTTCTTTATTGCTGAGTAATATTCCATGGTATGGATATACTACAGGTTGTTCAACTATTCACCTGTTTAAGGGCATCTTGGTTCTTTCCACTTCAGGACTATTACAAATTAAGCTGCTGTGAACATTTGTGTAAGGTTACTATGTGAACATGAGTTTTCATTTGTTTAGCAATAATGCCCAGAAATGTGATTACTTAGTCATGAGGTAAGTGTATGTTTAGTTTTTCAAGAAACTGCCATACTATTTTCCAGAAGGATTGTACTATTTCAGAGTGTGTGAGAGATTCAGTTTCCCTGCATTCTTACCAGCATTTTGCATTGTTAGTATTTCATATTTTATCTGTTTTAATAAGTATGTAGTGATATGTCATCATGTTCTTAGCTTGTGTTCCCTTAATGGGTAGTGATGCTACACATCATTCAGTGTGCTTATTTGCCATCTGGATATCCTCTTTGATAAAATGCTCCTTCATATCTTTGATAATTTTATAATTAAAATTTTTAAATGTTTTTATTGTGGAGTTTTGAGAGTCCTTTATATATTCTAGATATATGCCTTTGGTGATATTTGGAGTGTGCAAACATTTTCTCTTTGTCTATAGGTGGTTTTTTTTTCTATTTTTTAAGTCTTTTTTTCAGAAAAAAGTTTTTAATTTTTATAAAGCTCAATTTATTGTTTTTCTTTTCTGGATTGTGCTTTTGGTGTCATGTCTAAGAACTCTTCATCATGCCCTAGGACCCAAGCATTTTCACCTAAATGTTTTACAGTTTGCATTTAAATTTATGATCTATTTTGAATGAATTTTTGTATAAAATGTGAGAATTGGTCCAGCTTTCTTTTTCTCCTTTTCCTTTTTTTTGGCCTATGGATATTCACTTGCTTCAGCACCATTGTTTGAAAAAACTATTCATCTTCAATTGAGTTTCTTTGAACCTTTGTCTAAAGTGAGTTGTTGTAGGTCTGATTCTGGATTCTCTAGTACTGTTCCATCAATATATGTGTCTATCCTACCACAATACCCATAGTCTTGACTACTGTAGGTATATAAAAGTTTTAAATTTGGTTAGAGTAATCCCTCAACTTTTTCTTTATAAAATTTGTTTTACCTATTCTAAATCCTTTGCTTTTTAAAATAAATTTTAGAATAACTTTGTTTAAAATTAGTAAAAATTTCGCTGGAATTTGTTTTGAAATTGCATTAAACTGTGATATCAATCCAGGGGAGAACTGACCACCTTTACTGTCTTGAGGTTTCAGCGGATGAATGTGGTAAGTCTCTCCATTTATTTAGATCTTTGATTTCTTTCATCAGCACATCAGCATACAAGTCCTGTACATGTTCTATTAGAGTTTTACTTAAGTGTTTCCTTTTTTTTGAGTCATTATAAATGTTACTGTATTTTAAATTTTTTAAAAAATATCTTCATTGCTTTTTTATGCTTCATTGCAATACAGATTGATTATTTCGGTTGATCTTGAATTCTGCAAACTTGATGAACTCTTTAGTTCTCAGAGGCTCTTTTGGGAGGAAAGGCATTCCTTGGTATTTTTTTTTGTTGTTTTTTTCTTTGGAAGATTAGCCCTGAGCTAACTACTGCTAATCCTCTTTTTGCTGAGGAAGACTGGCCCTGAGCTAACATTCATGCCCATCTTCTTCTACTTTATACGTGGGATGCCTACCACAGCATGGCTTTTGCCAAGCGGTGCCATGTCTGCACCTGGGATTTGAACCAGTGAACCCGGGCCTCCTAGAACAGATCGTGCTCACTTAACCACTGTGCCACCGGGTCCTTGGTATTTTTAATATAGACCATCATATCAACTGAGGACAAAAATAGTTTTATTTCTTCCTTTATGATCTGCATGCATTCTGACCACCTCCTCTTCACCCTGTTGATGAAGGGCGGGTCTCCCACCCTAAATAATATGAAATGGCTGAACATACCACACTCTGCGTGGACAGATGAGATTGACAGCAGTTTATCACATATACTCACAGCCTGAGGGACAAGGACACTGCATTCCCCATAGGGCCACATGGAGGTTGCATTTAGGAACAGAATGAACCAGTAGGGGCTGTGAGAGGCAGGATTTGTAGTAACAAGAGAATAGAGTCCTTCTGGTTCCCAAAGGAGGGTACTATTGGTTTTTTTGAGTAGTTCCATGGGCTGGCAGGGAACTGAAGCCCTTAGGCTGAGGATCAGGTGGAGCGCACCTGTTCAGGCTTACAGGAGAAGTAGCCAGGTGGGGATGCTTTCCTGCTGGGTGGGGGAACATATCTGGTAAAAGCAGGAGAACTAACAGTTAAGCCTTTTGGGCCTTTTGAGCCTAAAAGATGTCATGGCAGTACTTGAAATTTAGAGATCTCACAATATAACATGCCATTTATTTCCTTTTCTTATTTTATTGTGTTGGCTAGGACTTCTTTTACTAGGTTAACTGAAAGAAGGAGAAAATGCATATGACCATCTTGATAGAATAAAAAAATATCATTTGACAGAATTCAACATCTGATCTTAATTATTAGAAAATCTAGTATTGAAAAAACCCCTAGTATTAAAAAAGAATTTTTTCAATCTAAGAAAGGATAGCTACCCTATTGCACACATCAGACTCAATGGTGAAATATTTAAAAATTTCCCCTAGATTTCTGGAGTATTGGAGGTGTAAGACAATGAAAAATGACAACAAATAAATAAATAAATAAATAAATAAAAGGAATAAGGTGGTAAAAGAGGTAAAATTTCCATTATCTACTTTTAACATGATCATGTACATTTTATTACATAAAATATTTGAGTGTTCTTCAAGTTAAAACTATTAAATAAAATATATTTGGAAAAGTCTACCTTTCAATTGTGTTCCTTACTACTCATTCCCTCTCTTGCCCTATAGGCAACTATTTCTAAAATCCTCCCATTGTTTCTATTTACAAATGCATGCAGAATAGAATAGAATGGGTACAGCTAGATATCCCTAACCTTCTCCTCTGTTTTATTAGACAAAATGTTGTATACTACACATACTCTCCTGTACCTTGCTCCAAATGTATTTTAGATATTACTCCATAGCAGGGTACAGAGATCCTCTCATTTTTTCTTCTACCTGCAGAATATTTCATTGTTTGGATGCACATCATTGTATTTATATATCGCCCCTTTTCCCCCCAGCATTATCTCTGATTTCTGCTGCAGTAAGATCCATACAGGATTCTCCTGTGGCAGACAGTTTGTTACCCAATCTGGAGAGTCTCAAAAATATATCTTTTCCACTAGAGTTGTGGCTTTGTCCTGATGGCCTTCTGGGACCACTAATGGGGAAGAGTACATTCCAAGGCAAAGAGTCAGCATCCGTCAATTTTTGTTCAAGCGACAGAAAAAAGATTGAGGTTTTGAATCCTACCCTTAACAAGTGAAAGAGGAATACAAGAAGTACCTAGGTTTAGATATTCTCTTTAAAAAATCAGAGAAAAAGAGACCAAAGAATATGATTATAAAAATCTTGAAGGCATCATATTCTAACAAATTACCTGAATTTCTCCTATTTGTAGTCCCCTCTCTGTATTCCATGGTGTGAAGGACCTTCTGTGTTTGTCTTTGAGGATGAATAAATGTAGGTGATCACCAGGATATGGGGTCATTAAGGGCATTCTACTAGCTCAAGTAAATATGCCTAATTATAGAATGGAGAATAGGCAGAAAAACTGGGGAAGTAAGCCACAAAACCTTCCTGATCCACATGAGGCCAAAATTCAGGAATATAAATGAAAACCATTACTGTATTGTGATACAATCTTCCCTTTCTGCTGTTTTTCTACTTCTGGTCCTTGAAGCTGTATGAAGCAGATGATTTTCACTCCATGTTTATTTGAGAAAAACCTCATGAAGAAATGTGAACAGAAGGTGAGTTCAGATGCAATGGAGACCATAAGCGTTGAATACAATGGAGACTGGGAGAGAATGAAGATGAGGTACTGCAATCAATATTGGGGACTTCCAGGCCTAGATCGGGGACTGAGGAAGCCGTCAGGGAGGGCATTTTCTGCAGGGTCACTGAACCAGGAGCAAACGAGATCCTGAGAAAGCACTCTCTGGGTGGAGTAAGAGTCAAGTAGGAAATGCTTTCATGCTGTGAAGCAGTTGGGACAGACGGTTGTTCCTTGAGGGTCACCATCTTCACTTCAGCTCAGGAGTCCTGCAGAAGACAGAGGAGAGTGTTGTTTCCAGACTTAACTCTACAAGCAGATTCCTTTCCCATCTCTGAGGGCTTCCTGTTAAAGCTCTGTAGTAAGAAGAAGCAAAAAATTCTGTCACCCTGAGCCAAGGCTACTTCAGAGCACAGGCCATTTTATTAAGTGGAGAGAAGATTTACTGCAAACTGCCTGATCAGAATTCGAAGTCTTTCCCATTATTTCTTCTCCTGTCTTGTTATCTCTACCATCTGTTCTAGGAGAACCAAACCTCTCTCTAAAAGAGAATCAAAGGGCATTACCTGTTGGCTGCAGTCAATCGTGTCCTGGGAAAGAGAAGGGAAGACATAACTTAAGATATGGAGGCAAGTCTGTCCGCAAATATAATGTCCCCAGCCCCAACCTCCCCCCACCTGAGAGTTCTCTAACACCATGACCCCTATCACATGATGCCAGAGCACAGAGGAGAGGAGAAAATGAGAGCCTGTGACCCATGAAGTTTCTGTCACACAAATCCAGTGTAATTTTGTCAGCCTTAGTGGCTCTTCCTGCATTTATTCCAGGGTCTTGAAAGATCTCCATGCATGTTGACCCTTCTATTACTTCTTTGGGCCATAACCATTCATGTTTTAACACAGTAAACATGGATGGTTGATTTCTGGATTTCCAGGAAATTTGTGGTCGACTAGGTAAACAAAGGCTTTGTACAGGGCCACTGGTATATAGAGAACTAATTGAGCAAAGCCATGATTCTTCCCCCAAAGGTCTGTGTGGGTCTCAGCTGCCAGCAGGGTCCTCACCTTTCTGGTTCCTGCAGTGGATGAACAGCCCCGCCCCAAGGATGAGCAGCCCCAGCACGAAGCCCCCGACTCCACTCAGCATCTTGCTCTGTGCAGACTCAGACTGGGCCCCTGAGAAAAGAAGCTAGTTTTAGTGATTTTTACCCCAAATCCAATTTCTCCAATTGAGACTCTGGGACTGAGAGCTTTGAGAATGGGGGAAGAAGGCTGCCCTGGAAGAACTACAATAATTGGCCATTTCTGGAAAAGTGACTTAAAAATCACTCTGAGTAGCTACAAGTTTCAGGCATTGAACTCATTTAAATATCACAGCCCTGACGTAATCCCACTAGTTCATCTGATGGAAGAGGAGCCTGGGACTCCTTGGGGTTGAGTCTAGGGTGACAGAGCTAATCAAAAGCAGAGCTGAGATTGGACTCCCCTGGGGTCAGGAAGGTCCCTATCTTGTAGATGTTGTGCCTTTTCTCAAACCACAATGAATAACTCAGAGCAATGGTGCCAGGAGTGCAAGCCCAGCCTGAGGCAGAGGACTGGTGCCCAGGGCCAGGGGAACCATGACCTGTAATATCTTGGGAAGGCTCAAAACATGGACAACTCTTTTCTGTCTGCCAGGCAGAATTGCCTCTCCAGACGGTATAGACATTTGTAGAAATTATCAGAGGATTTCTACCACAGGATATCATGGGCCTACCCCCTGTGACCTGTTTTGAAGGAGAGGAGAACATGGAGGAAATGAAAATAATATGGAGTGGGGAGAGGAGAAACATGACATTCAGGGAAAAGCAAAGAGCCTTTATGGTGGGCGAGGAATTTATGAGGTCAGGGAGCTTCTCACTCCATTCCACTGTGACAGGGCTCGTCAGACTTGGGTGCTCCACTTGGCAGGTGTAGACCTCTCCACTCTGAGGAACTGTCTGAAGCATCACCAGGGTCTGGAAGGTCCAGTCTCCATTACGGATCAGACCTGTGGAGATGACTCCAGCCTCCTCTTCCTGGCCGTTCCGGAGCCACCTGACTTCGATGTGGCCTGGATAGAAACCATTCACAGAGCAGAGGAGGAGGTTGTGGTGCTGCAGGGGCTGGGTCTTTACAGGATACACAGTGACTGTGGGCTCAACTAGGAGAGAAAAGGTGGAGGGAGTAAGTGAGGAGGACAGAGTAAGTCTCCTTGGTTGGCTGCCTTTCTGCCTCTGTCCAAACCCAAGCCTCCCTCAAAGCTGCCATGTGGCTGAACAGGAACCAGAGTCATGAGTCTTGAATTTAATCCTTACAGCGTGGGCCCACTGGATTTGTGAGCTGTTGAGGAAAATTGCGGGATTTTTTTCATATCTCGAAACAATTATTCATTGTTTAACTGAAGTATTTACGAACCTTTGCAGGATATAGATTAATTAAAAGCATACGTATTAATTAAAAGCATGATTTCTGGAACTAGGCTGCCTGGGTTCAAATCCAGGCTCTTCTTCTTAGTGGTTGATCTTGGGAGAATTTTTAAATTCCTCTATGCCTCAGCTCTCTCACCTGTAAAGAGGTGAGATAATACTAAAAACATAATACTAACTTACGGTTATATGAGGATCAAAGAACTTGAAATAAGTAAAACAATGGCTGGAACTCAACCTGGAATATATGTTAGCTATTTATTCTCTTTGTTTACTATGAAAGAAAATATGATTCAAAGTAGTAAGGATAAATTGGGGAACAGTGGTGGGATAGATGGAGATAGGGAATGAAATCGTGAAAGGCATCTCAATGCGCTCACACCTTAAAACAGCGTCAGAAATGGTTCTACCCTGGGACCAAGCAGGAACAGACAGAGGTGATTCTCTGAATCTATGAGTTGAATTCCAAGAAAAGCATGAGTCTTGAAGGAGAGGAAGAAGAGCAAGGAAAGTCATTCACTTAAAAATTTCTTATATTTACACTCAGCTGATCCATCTCTCTTCTTTGCAAAATAAGTGCACATCTATTATTGGAATTGACATAATTTTACAATTCTTTCTCCTTCGAAACTGACATTTGAGGTGAGAGTAGATCTGGGACTCATGAATACATGTGCTTAATGTCTGAGACAATCTTTGACACTACCAGTCCCTCAACAAATACAATTATCTTCAAGAAAGGAGAAACCTGGGGGGCAACTCTTATGATACCACAAAAGGGTAAATTTAAGATTGATGGTATACCATTAGCAACAATTTTGCAGTATATTTCATTAGGTAAAATGTTTAAATTCTTAACATGGAAAATGATAAACATAACCAAATATAAACCACAAAATGGAGAAAATGCTGAATCAAATATCAGCAAAGTGATAATAATCTTACTGCATAGAGAACCCATAAAATCACTGAGAACACTAGGACCCCAGAGATGACAGGAATGGATAATGCTTAGAGCAGTAATTACAACTATCAAATAAATATGTGAAAAAATAGAAGGATCTTAGAAATGAAAGAACATAAATTAAAAATAAAAAAAGATGAATTTCCAAGTGAGTGGCAGTATTGAAAAAAAACTAACAAAGGGGGATGTGAGGTAAATTGTGTTACAACCTTGCAAATGAATAAGATGTAACTGTTTCAACACTATTAGCATTATAAAGTAGTCACATCAGTATGTTAATTTTAAGTAACAAAATTATTGACAAAAATAATAAGAATAATAAGTTTTCACATATTGAGATTTATGGGGAAGCCATTCTGGTTTAAACCTGATTCGGCCTTAAACTTGTTTTTCCCAGAGCAGCCTGACTTATGGCCCGCAAAACATGCATTGTACATCTGCTTCACACATTTTCCCAAAGCAAAGAGTGCACTCTTTAAAATGAGGTATGAATGTCTCCCTTCCTCTGATGCCAATACCAGTACTTCTTTGAGGATAAGATTTCTTCCAGAAAACCAAGGTCAAGTTGATCTGCTGTGTACATGCTAAACTGCAGCAAACAACTCCTTGTGACTTTGAAAAAAAATTGTATTCCTGTCTGCTTGATGTGTGTTCTTTGTTCTGAAGTGGTATGTAACCTGCTGTAAACCACACTTCTCCAGAGTGCTTTCTTCCCTGGTGGATACGGTGCTTCTGGGCTAGTCCTCAGCTCAAATAAATCTCATCTTTCTTGTCTTTCTAATCTAGAGCTCGGTTATTGATTCTTTGCATTGGTATTATTTAAAAAGCTAGTTTCACAATTGTTTCAACTATGTAGCAATATATACACTAAGAAAACAAAAAAAGTAGCAGGAAATTGAGACCGAAAGGAAGCCTCAGAAAGGTCAGAGGTGCCTGGGAGGTTCCTCCCTACTCCCTCCCTCCATATTAGTCTCTCTGGCAACTGTCTTTCTCCATGCAGTGCTTATGGACATCAACACAGGCACACCTGTTCCAGGGGTTTCAGGATTAGGAAGGGTGTGTGCCAAGAGCAGTCTGGGACTAGCCTTCTCACGTTCTCCCAAACCTGTCACATTCCTCATCTCTTCTCCCCTGAATCCTCACCCCAACCACAGACAGCACCTTAAATCTCCCTCTCAGCGTGTAACCACCCACCCCAATCAATGATTCCCTCCTCTCCAGCCCCCTGTGCTGCCTCCCTCTTCCCATTCTCTTCTCCCCTACAGCAGCCCCCAAGGCCACGTGAAGCTCTCCTTCCTGCATCCCCCACCCCACACCTACCCCGACTCTGCCCACCACAGGCCCGCCCCCAACCCACATTCTCTCTGTCCCACCTCAGCTCACAGTACAACCCTCACACACACATTCTCTCCCTCCACAATCACACACTGACAAAAACCACACACTGTCTCCACAACAGGCTCTCACAGGAACCCTTGTAACTTGTGCTCACTCACAATCCTACACACTCACCTGGACTGAGTCTCTCTCTGTCTCTGACTCTGTGTCTGTTTGTCCGTCTCTCTCACACACACAACTGCCCCCGCCCCCCGGCAGCCCATCCACCCCGCTCAACTCGTCGCTGCACCATGAAGCTATCGAAAATCCCATAGTTGTGTCTGCAGAACGTGTCCACCTCGGCCCGCTTCCGCTCCAGGTCATCCTTCTGCCGGTTCCAGTGCTCAGCATCCAGCCGCCCCAGCTCTGTCATTGCCCGGAACTCCCCGACGTCGCTGTCGAAGCGCACGTTCTCCTCCCCGTTATAGAAGTATCTGTCCAGGAGTCGCACTCGCTCCATCCCGTTGGAGAAATGACACTCGGACTTAGCCTGCACCATGAAATGTGCTGTGGGGCAGAAACGATCTGGTCACTGGGGCGGGCTTCTGAGAAGAGACTGATGGCGGTGCCCACCACCCATACGGGGCGCCCAGGCGCGAGTGGGGGCACTAGGACACCCCTCACTGGCTCCACTGGACCCCCAGCTACCAGCACCCCAGGGGTTCATCTTTCATCTGCAGGGGGAGGCCTGGCCTGGCGGAGGAGACCCCTCAAGTCCAGAGATATTCAGGATCCACTGGGCTTCCGGGCCTGGCTTCAGACCTCCTAGCAGGAGCTGGAAGCTGGAGGAGGATTTCTCCCCATGACCACCTCCTCCTAGTTGCGTCCACCTGAAGGACACTCACCGCCCCCTCCTCTCATCCCACAGCTCTTTAACCATTCCTTAAACATGTCCCACCTCCTTGTTCATTCTGTAATCACTTGGTTAGTAAAGACCTTGTGCTGTCCCCTGGGAATCCCAAGAAGGGAAAAACAGACATCTCACCACCACTCTTGGAGCTTAAACTTTAGTGAAAGCGACGAACAAAAAACAACCACGCAAGAATTTTTACAGGAGTGAGAAATGTGAGAAGAATAGTGTGGAGTTCCAGAACAGAGAATAACAGGATGATCTCAATTACCTCAGGATGCCAGAGAAGTGGTTTCTGAGAGTGACATTTAAGATGTGACAGGAAAAGTTAAGGTGATGTGGAATAGGGAAGAGAGTGTGTGTGTATATGTTTGGGGCAAACGGGAGGCACACTTCAGGTAAAGGTAACACCATGTGGAGAAGCTTGAAAGAATTGTCTCTGGCTAAGAATCACTGGTGTAAGCCATCTGAGAACACCATGGTGAAGAAGCTGCTGTTGATTATGGAGCAGCTGAGAATTACATTGACAAATTTGCCAATATTATATCTGTTGAAAATCTTGGTCCTACATGAAATTTATGTTTTTTTAGGAATCTGGTCCCAATGTAGAGCTACTTTTCCAGCAAAATAAATTTGTTCAGGACCAAAGTTTACTGATTTCTTTGCCTTGCCAAACAGTCACTGTGATACTGTGATTTATAATAAGAAATATATATTTAGTCTTCATCCCGTTTTCTGACACAGAGCTCCTAAACTCTGTATGTCTTTTGTTATGTTAATGAGGTAAATTTAGGGATCCCAATTTGGGGATGCTGGTTGCCTGGAGAATGAACCAAGTGATTGGAGGATCAGAATTTTCAGTCCCACCCCCTTGGCCTTCAGGGAGGGGAGAGGTGCTGGGAATTGAGTTCAGTTACCAATGGCCAATGATTTAATCAGTCATGCCTAAGTGATGAAATCTCCATAAAACTTTAAAAAGATGAGGTTCAGAGAGCTTCTGGGTTCATGAAAATGTGGATATTTAGGGGAGAACGATGCACTCAGAGAGCATGGAAGCTCTGCGTCCCTTCCCCATACCTTGTCCTATGCATCTCTTCCATCTTCTTGTTCCTGAGTTATACCCACTTATAATAAATTGGTAATCTATTAAGTAAATGTTTCTCTGAGGTCTGTGAGCCACTCTAGAAAATTAACCAAACCAAAGGAAGTGGTCATGGGAACCTCCAATCTATAGCCCTTCGGTCAGAAGCACAGGTGACAAGCTGAACTTGCCATTGGGGTCTGAAGTGAAAGGCGGCTGTCCTGTAGGACTGAGCCCTTAACCTGTGGGATCTGACCTTATCTCTGGGTAGGTAGTGTCAGAATTTAGTTGAATTGTAGGACATCCAGCTGGTGTAGGAGGACCACTTCACGGTGTAGAAAAACCCCTTACACGTTGGAATAGGTACCAGGACACTTCAGCCACCAAGTTATATATTTATCCTTCACATCATCTTCCTTCTTAATTTCTCTGCAACTGATCCACTACTTGTCTATCGAATTAACTGCAGCCACAGCCATTTTCTCCCTGTTCAATGTCCCAACTAATTCATTTTCTAACTTTCAGTCTCCTACTCCCAATAATACCAGTAGGCATTAAATTACCAGTCTGGTCATATGTAGAACTCTCATTTCTGTAGTCAAGTCCCACCAGAAGGTGAGACACTGACAAAGAGATGACATTCTCATATAGACAGTTCACAAAAATGAGCCAGTTCCCAGACTCTGAGTAGAGACCTTCACAAAGCTCCTTTTACCCCATAGAAATGATGACAGAGGGGAGCGCACTATCGATCAGACCAGGTCTATGTCACTATCCAGAAATTCTGTAAGTACCTTCTTGACACATGAGAAAGTTATAAAATGAAAATGTGTGAAGTTTTTGCTCACTGTAGCTTGTATAGTTAGCACTGTTGGTTCATGTTCATGTGCCCAACTTAAGGTTACTAGATTTAGAAAATAAAATACAGCATGCCAAGTTAAATTTGGATTTTTGTTGTTTATCTGAAATTCAGATTTAACTGGTCATTTTGAATTTTATTTGGCAAGCCTAGCCAACCTTTCCAACAAAATCTCAGAAGAAGAAGTGTATTCAATATTTCTTTGTATTCTTTGACACATGCCTATGATGGCCTGCACATAGTGTGAACCCATATGGAACTTTTCAAATAATAAAGTGAAAATGAATGTAAATTTCTCCTACACATTGGAACGAGCAGGCCATGCATCTCTCTCCTACCCTAAGACACACACTGGTACATATGTATATCAGAAATTTTACCAATTTTACCCAACTGAGCCACTATTCACTAATGGTGGTTAGAAGCCCAAGCTCTAATTCAGAAAATATGAATTTGAACATGAACTCTTCCACTTGGGTCAGTTTTTAAACATTCATGAATCTTTTTTCTTTATCTCTAAAATGGATTTAATAATAACATGTTCATCACAAGATTATTGTTAATTGTGAAATTAAATAGTGACTCTTCCTAATGCTGATCACATAATAAGTACTCACTAAAAATATAACAATTTTAAGTTTTATAACTTTTATGAATGCAGGCTCACAAGGTCTTTCTATTCCTTAACTTCCTAAAGCAAATAATATCTTCATCATGATTTGGCAATTGTTTTCTATTAATGTTATCACTAATTTCCATTTTGAACCCCTAAGGGCAGAACACATTGATTTATGTATAATAATGGAGTTTACATGAACCTAATACATAAGGAGCATACAGACATGGAAGAGTGGGACTTTGTATACACTCAGATTTAGACTATTTAATCTATGTCTGGCTAACTATGTGACACTGTGTTACTTAAACTCTTTGAATCTTAGATTCCATAGATATAATGCTTTTAATAGATATAATGCTTTTAATAGATATAATGCTTTTTATTGTTACAGATATGATAAGATAGTTATGGGAATTACATACTGAAATCTATATGCCTGGTACATAGTAACTGCAAAATGTTATGATGCTCCATGCTGATCGAGACCAGATTTTTTTGTTCTTCACCCCATTCTCATCACCTAGGGTAATAACTGATGTAGTCTAGGTTACTAATAAATATTGGTTGCATGAATTAACAGGTTTTTGCATACCAGTCACCTCTGCATACAAGGGCACTCTAGTGCTTCCTTGTGGATGACTGACATCTCTGGTTCTCAAGTTTTCCAAGCTTCTTTTCAGGTTCTTTTATTCTTATACTTCAGGTCCAGCTGACTGCCTGATCACTGAGCACAGTCTTTCCTCGAGGTCAGCTACTCAGAAGAGTTACCTGTAATCCATTCTTCACTTTTTCAGCTCCCATTCTCTCTTCCAACAGTCCAATCCAGTTTCTATCTTGCGTACTCCACTGACTGCAAATGACAGTTCCACCAAACCCGGTGCTCACTTCTCTGTCATATTCTCACTTCACCCACCTCTTAGTGGTACTCACTGCCACTGGCTACTCCCTCTTTACTGAAAAGAATCTACTGTCCTTCACTTCTGTGTATCACATTCTCATGGTCTTCCTCAATATCACTGGTAGCCCCATTTCATTCTCCTTTGCTGACTCATTGGCTCTAGGTTTTCTGGGTGTGACTCTTACCCTCTTTTGTCTTCTACAAACTCTCTCTCTCCCTATGTAACCTCTCTACTTTCCTGGAATTTAACAGAGTACGTGTGTTGGTGACATCATCAGCTCTGGCCTCCTTCTGAGCTTCAGTCTCATATATTCAACTGACCTCTTGACAGCCCTACATAAAAGTCAAAAATTATTTCAAATTTAACTTGAGCAAAACCTTTATTCCTAACAACCCACTTCAAATTATTTCCCCTCACATCTGCCCTCTCTCAAACAGCACAATCATCCACCTAGTTATTATAAAAGAAAAAATCCTTAGGGATAAGCTTGATTTTCTATCCTCCCACTCTACCATTTAATTCATTAAAAGTCACACAAAAATCTATCCCAAATCTGTTCACTTTGTCTTGACCACCATCTTTGTGACTCCCACACTAAAGGAAGCCACAAGCATGTCTGCCCTGGAGAATTGTACCCTGCTCCTATTTGGTCTCCCTGACTCTATTTGCGAATATCTACAATCCCATCTCCACGTGGTAGCTAGAATTATTTTTTAAAAATAAATATAAATTACTCTTTGTAACCCTTCAGTAGTTTCACCTTTCTCTTTAAATAAAATTCAGATTTTTTACCCTGGCTGTCAGGGCCTAATATGATTCTGCTCTTGACTTTTTCTCCAATCTCATCTTCTGCCACTTCCCAACTTGCTCGCTCTGCTTCAGCCGCTCTTGCTTTCTTTCTGTCCCTTAAACACAGCAAACATCTTCCCACACTTCAACCTTTCCCCTGTGCCCTCTACTTGGATGGAACACTGGTCACTTAGACCTTTCACATGACTGAGTTATTCTCACCATTCATGTCTCAACTAGATGTCACTTTCTCAGTGGGAGCTCCCTAGCCACTTGAACTGAAGTCAGGTGAATCCGTTCTCTCTGTTCCATGACTCTGATGTATTTTTTCGAAGCACTTACTGCTCTCTGAAATTTTTTTCTTTGTTAAATGTTTATGGGGTTATTACCTTTCTCTCCTGTCATTAGGTAAGATTCATGGTAGTAGGGTCTTTTCTATCTTACTCAAATAGATTTATGTGAGCCTAGAACAAAGCCCAGTATATAATAGTTGCTCAGAACAACATTTGTGTCTAAATGAATAAGCCCAAGGTTCTGAGAATTGGTCATTGTGAGGACCCTGGAAAGCAAGATTGGGCTCAAGTTCCAACACTCTTTTATTCTGATGACACATTATGTTCCTTCTGATTCCTGTGAGAAGTTCAGACAAACTTCCTCTTCCTCCTACTAGTTGGAAGAAACATTCACAGGTGAGAAAAATGTAGTTTTAAGAAAGAGGGAAAATTTCATTGCTTCAGTTCATCCAATGGATCTGTTATAGTGCTGAGGGTCTGTGCGAACTTTGGGGATTTTCAGTTATGGTGATGACATAGCTGGGGAAGGAATAGGGAAGAACTGGAAGTAGAGGTAACCAAACATGGCTAATTAAGAAAAACAGAGGGCATGATGAATGAACCTATGACATTTGGGGCTAAGACTCCGGGAGGACAATGAGTTCCCTTGACTAGCTTCTCGACTTTCAGCCCTATGGGATATAAACAAGTTTCATGATTTCTGTGTAATCCTGTTCAGGGTGTATGCTTGGAACCATATAAAATTGCTAATATTTGACTATTTTTGGTTTATGAAAATAGAATTTCATATAATTTATTCCTTCTTTTGGGCTCACACTAGAGAAATGGGAAATGTAGGAGAAACTGATATATAGAAAGGTTCAAAACAGATTCATAATGAACACTATCCTATGCCAGGTTTTCAGAAGATGTCTTAAGTTCTTTAAGCATCAAAGAACACCCCAATGATGCTCCTAACTGTAGAGTCATTCCAAGGTTAGAGGACCCCTGCTTCAGATCCAGGGTGCTTTCCATGGGAGAGATAGAGAGCACTAATCCCAACTTCTGTCGGAGACCCTCCAGGACAGGGATACAGGCCTTGGGGTTCAGGGAGAAAGGAAAGGAGGTAATGGGGGAGGCTCTTGGTACATCCTCACATATTATGGAGAGGTACCAATATCACAGATTCTGTTGAGGGCATAACACAGGATCTTCTAGGAGAGATGTTTCTTATTCTTTTTTGACTCCTTATAAAATTTTCAGTTATGCCTTTATCTGACATAAATCTACATAATAAAGGGAAACGTTGGATGGGAATTATTTTGAAATAGTTATTTGTAAATCTTCTCAAGATCCTAAGGGAATGGAATGTAAGGCTGGAGAAGTTTTATTAAAGGAGAGATGAGAAAAAATGTCCTATATATATGGGGGCTCTTTATGCAGCTCTCATTGATAGGACAAGCATCCAGGTCCCTTTTGTTGTGGAAAGAATTGGGGATCTGTATAATAAAGATAGGTGGTCATTGAAGAAAATGACAGTTTTTAAAGGGTCGTTGTCTGGACACAGTGACAGAGCTAACTCCCTTCCTCCCTCCTCCCCACAGTAGCTCACCACCCAAGGTGTGCACTTACATTGGGTGTTCCTGGCCCAAGTGAGAGGAGGGCTCAGTACCATAAGTATCAGTGTCCAGGAGCCTTCAGGGAACCACAGACATGCCATGCTGGAGATCAGGAGATGACAGAGTGCAGGGGAGCAAACAAATCTCAGTGAGTTCTAGGACCCTTCCCCTCTCACATCCCAAACAAAACCAACCAGGGACCTCATTTCTTTGTTCCTGGATTGAGTAATCTCAGTGTTGAGAACCAATCGGCATCAGGGATGAATAGCATCATCAGTTGCTGGTCAGAGATTCAGTTTGAGGGTCGTCTTCTAAAACTTAGATTTCCTTCATTAGAAGGATTGTTTTAATTTGGTACTTAAAAGGTTTGATCCTGTTGTCTGAAACATTTCAGTTGGGCTCCTATTGTGAGCCAGTTCTATGCTAGTCAGTGATGTGTATATAAGTTTGAGCCTTTTGGGAGCACTCATCTCTCTTGCTTGAAGGCAGAGCTGTTTTGAAAAATGTAGGCTCATGCGTCTAGGAGTTGAGGGGGCGGAGGGGGGATGATTGCAAGTTAGGAGACCTTTAATCTGTCTTTATTGCACCAAAATTTAGTGTTGTAGTTTTGGGAAAATTACTTAACCTCTCATCCTTGAAATGAAGGTGCTGCGATCTTTCAGGTATTTCAAGACTGGAAAATGCTGTGAATCTGCCGACAGCTCAGGGAGCAGCATCATCTGGTAACTGGGATTGACTGGGATGTGACAGAATTCTATCTCTTGATGGAGAGTATAATCTGTACCTCCTTACAGATAAGGATGTCTCTGAGAAACTAAAAAAATTTGAAGGTTAGTCAATAATTTAACCTGAGTGAAACTGTTTTTCAGGTTTTTCTCCTTGCTGTCACTGAGTTTAGTGGCACATCCAGAATACACATAGAGAGGGAGGCTTTTAGTTTGATGTAGTCCCACTTGTTTATTTTTGCTTTTGTTGTCTTTGCTTTTGGTGTCAAATCCAAAAATTCATTGCCAAGGCTGATGTCAAGAGGCTTGTGGCCTATGTTTTCCTCTGGGAATTTTATGGCTTCAGGTCTTACTTTCAAGTCTTTAATCCATTTTGAGTTAATTTTTGTGTATCATGTAAGGTAGTGGTCCAGGTTTATTTTTTTTGCATGTGGCCATCCAGTTTTCCCATCACCATTTGTGAAGGGACTCTCCTTTCCTTACTGTATATTCTTGGCTTCTTTGTTGTAAATTAATTAAGCAGATATGCTTGGATTTATTTCTGAGCTCTTTATTCTGTTCCATTGATCTATGTCTCTGTCTTTATGCCGATACAGTTGGCCCTCTGTATTTGCGGGTTCTTCATCTGTGGGTTTAACCAACCACAGACCAAAATATCTACTGTGGTTTTCTCTGTACCGAACACGTGCAGACTATTTTTTCTTGTTGTTATTCCATAAACAATACAGTATAGCATCTATTCACATAGCATTTACGTTGTATTAGGTATATTAAGTAATATATAGATGATTTAAAGTATACATCAGGATGTGTGTAGGTTATATGCAAATACTACACCATTTTATATAAGCAACTTCAGGCGTCTATGGATTTTGGTACGTGCAAGGGGTCTGGAACCAATCTCCTGTGGATACTGAGGGACAGTGTACTATCTTGTATTTTTAATATTGTTTTGTTATATAGTTTGAAATAAGGGATCATGATGCCTCCAGCTTTGTTCTTCTTTCTCAGGATTGCTTTGGCTATTTGGGGTCTTTCGTGGTTCCATACAAATTTTAGGATTATTCATTCTATTTCTGTGAAAAATGTCATTGGAATTTTGACAGGAATTGCATTGAAGCTGTAGATTGCTTTGAGTAGTATGGACATTTTAATAGCATTAGTTCTTCCAATCTATGAACATGAAATATTTTTCCATTTATTTGTCTTCTTCAATTTCTTTCATCAATGTCCTATAGTTTTCCAAGTACAAGTCTTTCACCTTCTTGGTTAAATTTATTCCTGCATATTTTTTTTTTGAAGCACTTGTAAATGGGATTGTTTTCTTAATTTAACTTTCTTTTATTGTCTCCTTTATCTTTGAATATCCTTTGTTATTTCTGGCAAAACTTCTTTTTATGAAGACTATTTTGTGTGATATTAATATGGCCATAGTATCTTTATTGTGATTTGAGTTTTCATATTGCACATTCTTTCTTTCAGTTATTTTTTATCCTTACTTTCTGACATCTGACATGTATCCACCATTTTGAATACATTCTTACTTTCTATGATCATCTTGCATTTTTCTTTCCTCAGTTCTAGAATTAGTTATCTCTCCAGGGAGATAACTTTTAGAGAGAGGTTCCTTTTAGAGAGAATGGTATTTAGAAAGCAAGATCTGTGTGCTAGGTGTACTCATTGCTATTGGGATGTCAAAATTCTTTATGACAGTTTCTTTATGACAGTTATTTTGAATTCTCTGTCAGTTCAATTTTAATCTTTGTGACTTCAGGCTTGGTTTCTGGAGAGTTGTCATTCTCCTTCTGTTCTGCTGAGTTACTGTGGTTCTTCATGGTGTTTGATGAATTGATCCTCTGTTGGTGCACTTGTGGTAGTAACCACATTTCCTATTTGGGTATGACTTTGGTTACTTTGGTTCTCAGCTGCTTCTGGTTGTATTTGAGAGCCTGCATTTTCCACTTTCCATTGCCTCTGCCAGAGGCATCATCAGTGCCCTCCTTGTGCCACTTGTACCTCTGAGGTTGTTGGTGCCTTGCTGCTTACATTTTTGCTGCAGTCTCAGGTGATGCCACTGGGGTCACGAGGCTGGGAGCACTTCTGCTGCTTCCAAGGTTGCCTGGGTCTCGTGTTCCTCCAGTGGCTTAACCTGGGCTCTCCATGGGCTCAGACGCTGCTGCCCCATGAACCACCTATGCTGTTGCTGCTAGGTTGTCTGGGCATGTTGGTTGCACTGCTGTCAGAGGTGCTGTGTTCACAGGTGTTGTTGTCACTGCCAGGGGCCTGGGGACCTGGGGACTTGTATGCAGCCTCTGCTGCTGGTGGAGCCAGTATTGGAGTGCTGCCACTGGGTTTTTGATCACTGATTCTGCTGTGGTTCCTGAAGTCTTTCATCACAGATTCCACCTGCCACTGCTAGGCAGGGAGCTGGAGCTAAGTAGGGAGAAGTTTTTGTTGGTGCTTACTGTGCAGCCTCTGATCTGGTGATAGCAGGTGTGTTTTGTGAACTCATATTAGGGTGCCCTGCCCCAGCTGGGAAAATCTGAGTTTTGTATATTTTCTCTACTGTTGGAAACACCTGGCCACTTTCAGGTAATGGGGAGAGGGCATGTATGCTGGATATGCTAGGAGATGTTCAAGGAGCAAACTATGCCTATTTTCTCTACCCTAACCATAACTGCTCACAGGAATGCAGGCTGTAACCACTGGGAGATGGGCAGAGAGACAGCTGTACGTGTCATCTCTGCCTCCACTGTGACTACTTGCATGTGAGCAGGATGGATCTGCTGGGAGATGGGCAGGGAGCAAGCCACAGCTGTTTTATCTCTGCCCCCACCTCAACCACTCTCAGTCACATAGGCTGGATCTGCTGGGAGACAGGCAGGAAGCAAGCTGTGTCCACCTTCTCTGCCTCCACCATAACCACTAGCAGGCATGTGGTCCACTGTGAGGATCTTGGCCCTGGATTGCAGCTGTTGGAGGAGGGAGAGGGGACCACTCCTCTAGTTCCTCTAGTTCCACTACTTCCTGGCGGTCCAGTCCACCCACCTTCAGATGTATAGATACATGGATCTCTTAGGCATCTTGTTGTGCTGTGTAGGGGATCTTCTGTTGGTCAATGAATGTCTGATTGGTTGTAACTTAGAAGGGAGAGACAAAAAGGAACAACCCATTCTGCATGATGCTGATGTCACTCCAAGAATTCTTGTATACTACTGGTGGGAGTGCATATTGGTACAAACATTAAAAAAAAATTCTCTTTGGCAGAATCTACTAAAGCTGAACATGTGCATACCCTAGGATCTAGTGATTCCACTAGTAGGTACATACCCAATAGAACTGTGTTTATATGCTCACCATAAAGTATACAAAGGAATGATTATAATGGAACTACTCATGATAAATACAAACTGGAGACTACAAAATATACATCAAGAGTAAAATATATAAATAAATTTAGTAATATGTATACGATATTTATGTTATAAGAACAAATGCACTAGTCTTGCAGCAACAACATGGATGAATCTCACAAACATATTTTTAGGTGGAAGATGCCAGATACAAATGATTGCATAGTGTATGACTTCATTTATATAATATTCAAAACAAGTGATATTAATCCATGCTGCTAAAAGTCAGAATATAGTTTTACCCCTGGGGAGGGGGTCACTAGAAGCCAGCATGAGGGGACTTCTGAGTTTGAGGTAAGTATTCCATTTCTTGATGTGAATGTTAGTTCAATTATTGTGTTCACTTTGTTAGCAATCATCCAACTGTACTATTATGATGTATGCTCTAAGACAGACAAGAAAATCATGGGTAAACTCCCGTTAGTGTAACTAGAAGACAGAAAATGCTATGAATTTTGAATGAACGCATAAACAGGGAAATACTCAAATCTAGCAAAGCCAAATTTGGAGGCCACCTCAGAATGGCCAGAATGACCAGAAAAGAAAAGAATGGAGTGGGGACTAGGGGTAATGGGCATAGAGAAAATCACTCTGCCAAAAAAGTATTTTGTTCTGAGTGGGGAGATTTGGAAAGGAAGTCTGGGACATAGGATACAAGTGCACTGTTGCTGCGGAATCCAAATAAAGGAGCTTGAACGTGGAGAGAATCAGAGGGCATAGTCTTGGGTAACCTGTTGTTATGGGGAGTGAAGTGGTGACTTAAATCTTGGAGGCTCCCTGAGAATCATGGTAGTAAAGGTAAAAAGGAAGGAAGTGGAAGAATTAAATTACTTTTTCAAACAAAAGAAAATCACAAAATCAGATCTATCAACCTCTTCTCTTCCCCAAAGATTCTTGTTACTAAGGAAACTGCACTTCACTCTCTAACAGTGGAAAATGATCTTGAATTAAGAAACCTTTTTACCTTGTAGAAACCTACAAACATTCTTACCTCAACCCCCATACAATTGTTTTTGCTGGTCCAGAAAGTTGACATTCCAGAATGAACACAAAACTGCGGATGTGATCCACTAAAGCTACTGTCAGATGATGCCTATTTTCTCCAAAACAAGAACAAGAACGTCACCAACACCAGGGAAGCAGAAGAGAATTGTGACACTATGCCCCCAACTGAATCAGGCTTTTGTGAATTGAAAAAAATTTCAAATTAGAAACAAATTAGACTGAGGAATTAAATGTAAAGAAAACAGGAAGTCAGGAAATGAGAGTTAACTGAACTCAGGAAAGAAAATAATAATTAAAAAGAGAAAAAATCATATTATAAGTGAAGACTAAGTTGCAAATGGATAACAAATTCAAATTAAAACACAAGAGGCATGGCAAAATGGCATTAAAAGAGTCAAGAGAATGACAATGAAATAAAATAGGTAAACAGGTATCAGTGATTATATTGGTTTTCCACTGCTGCATAACAGAATACCACAAACAGCAGGTTAAAATAACACACAGTTATTTTTCCATGGTTTCTGTGAGTCAGGAGTCCAGTCACAACTTAACTGGCTTCTCTGCTTGGGTCTCAAATGCTGCAACCAAGTTGTATCACTCTGTTTTCCTAACTGGAGGCCTGACTGGGGAAGAATCCACTTCCAAGCTCATTCAGGTTGTTGGCAGAATTCATCTACTCATGATGGGAGCACTGAGGTCTCTGTCTCCTGCTGGCTGCTGGCCAGGGGCCACACTCATCTCCTAGAAGTCACTTGCATTTCCTTGCCACATTACCCTCTCTCAGGCCCTCTGAGAATATGGAGTGTACTTCAAAGCTAGCAGAGAAGAGTCTTTCTCTCCAGCATGCAAAAATGAAATCTCATACAATAAAATATAATGACAATTGACATTCCATCATCTTCCTAGTCAAGGGAATGTCATCGTAGCACATTTGCCATATAACATAACTAATTGAGGACCCACCATCTGTCACCTTTGCCATATTATACTGGTTAGAAGCAAGTCACAGTTTACATTAACTCTCATTGGAGGAGATTATAGAAGAGCATGACTCATTGGGGGTCACCTTAGAGTGTGTCCATCCTCTGATTTCCAGTGATTCACATCCCTCCCATATGCAAAATGCATCCATTACAGTCCAAAGTCCCTGAAATTTTCACTCCATTACAACATCAGCTCAAAGCCCCAAATTTCATCGTTTAAATCAGGTTCAGGTGAAGATAAGGCTTCCGGTTGTAATTCATCAAGCACAACTCCTGGAGTACAATTCCTCTCCATCTGTGGACCTGGAAACAGGAGACAAGTTTTCTGCCTCCAATGCACCCAACTTATAATTGTGGTGCAGGTATAGGATAACTGCTATGAGTATTCTTGTTCAAAAAAAGGAAAAATAGAAGGTAAAAAGGAGGTGCTGGTGCATGGCAGTTCTGAATTCCAGCTGGTAAAACTCCAGCCTGAGGTCCTTGATTAGATTTCAAGGACTTAGAATAACCCGCTCTCTCACTTTCATAGTTCTGGATTGGGAAAGGCCAGCATTCCTGGCAAGGGCGGCAACCTTGCCAGCTCTTATTTCTCTGACTAATCTTTGGTGGCTCTCGGCTCTCTCTACAGATTCTTGGTTCTGTCCTCGGGGTTATCCTTGTTCTTCACGGATGGTTTATCAGACTGCTTCCTGCCAGTGGAATTTGGAGTTCTGATAGCCTCCTTTTATTTTGTACTTTCTCCTGCTCAGTCCAGGAAGCAGTAGTTCTTAAAAACTGTGTGTCGTCTGTGGATTTTTTTGGGATTCACTCCATTAGACAAAAGCCATATCTCTGCTTTTTTTTGAGACAATCACTTCTCTGTGTTGGTCCCTGCTGAGATGTTTGAGGGACCACACCTAAGAGGATGGGTGAGGCACACCTTCAGCCTCTTGAGAGGACCCTTTGTGTGACTGAATTCTCCATCTATTTGATCTTTCGGAAGTGTGTCTGCCACAGTGATGCAGTGATTGATATCGGTAAGCAAATGAAAAGCAATAGGATATATTGAAGTATATGAGGAAGCCATTTGGTGTAAAAAGAATTCTGTCTGAACTTGTGTTTCCAAAAGGGCCTGACATAGCCTGTTGAGCATGCATTATACATCTGATTTAAACATATACTATGTCCCAAAGACAAGAATAATGTCCTTAAAGATAAGAATGTATCTTCCCCCATATCAGCATTTCTTTAATGATAAGCATCTCTTCCTGGAAACTAAGGATTAATTGCTGACCTGCTGTGCTCACTTGTGACTGCTGACCTGCTGATCACCACTCTACTGTACCAGCTGAGCATCTTGTGACAATTGTAAAAGGGATATTCCCATCACATGTGATGTATGCTCTTTGTTCCAAGACGGTCTATAACCACTCTGTATACCCCACTTCTTTGGTGCCCTTCCTTTCTTGGGGAAGGAAGGCCCTGAGCTAGTCCTCAGATCTAGCTCATAATAAACTGACTCCAGTTTTGATTTATGGATTGATTATACATTATTTCCATTGACAGTATAGAAGGCAGGCAAAAGAAGGCAAAATACGTATATTGGAATCCTTAAAGAAGAGAAGGAAGAATAAGATAATGTTAAAATGGTTTCATTTTAAAGTACTTTCATTCTTGAAGGTAATGAGGGGCACTCTTTAAGGCAGGTGAAGAAGTATTAGTAAGAATTATCAGTTAAACTGTTCAGGTAATGATCTTATAGTCATAAAAATACACGTGGATGGAAGAGAGAGAAGAAAGAAAAGCTGAGCCTTTGTTCCAGCTATCTTGAATCACATAAAATTGAGAAAATATGCTGAGGAAGTTCTATATAGCAACCTCCAATTACTGCATAGTAGGTGTAGAAGAGAGTTTAATGAAAGAAATAATAGAAGATTTTTTTCTGACCTAAGGGAAGGGTTTAGTTTTTGGATGGATTTGATTCATGAAATTTAAAGGCATCAAGCAGGAATAATGAAAATATACAAATAATCATATACATAGTGATGAAGTTTTTTGTCTATAAGATTAGAAACCTAAGAAAAACAAACAATGCCAATAAAAAATTTCTCTCAAAGCTTCAAGAAAGGAAAAAAACAAGCTAACCAACAAATAGCTTATACATAGAAGGACACAACAGGAAACAGTTTTCTTATCAGAAATATCAGAAGCTAAAAACAGTGGGAAACCAAAGAGGCTAACTTAAATGCAAGAAGCTGGGTGTTGCAGGAAAGGCAGTGTAAGAGAGGAGATTTTGGCTAGGAAGATGGAAGAGAGACAAGGCAGAGAGAAGAAAACCTGAGCAGAAGCCAAGAGGAGTAGATACCAGAGAAAGGAATTGCTAAAGAGTGTGTTATTTTAAAACCTGCCCTGGGTGACAAAATTTTCATTGCCATACCCTTAGAGACCCAAATTACATTTCAAAAATGTTGGAGTTATGCTTTGTTTTTCTTTTGATTATAACTCATCGATTCTACTGAAAGTTCAAGATCTCTCTTACTGTCCCAAGATATTGACAGCTATAAGGGTATTAATTGGGTTGCAAACACCAGCAGGGAGAGACACTGCACTTGAGAAATTCAAGGCAAGCTGAGACTTTCCCTTCTTCCTCTTGCTTTCACAGATATGGACTGGGAGAGGCCAGCGTTCCTTCCTAGAGGGTGGCAACCCAGCCAGCTCTTATTTTCCTGACTATTCCTTTCATGTTTCCAAAATACGATGCAATCTGAGACGTGGTTTTGGATGGTTCAGAAGCAAAGAAGCATGAAGTGGAGCAGGACTTAAAGAGTGCTGTTGCCTGAAGACCAAGGAACTCAGTCTTTTACATGTTCTAACAGGTAAGAGATTGCTACTATAAAATTGCATGCTTAAAAAAAGCTCATCACTGCCAACACTCTAGTGCAAGCCACTATCTGTATTCACCAGCTTTCATCATCCTCTGCCATTATCTAATGCATTCTTTTTTTTTTTTTGAGGAAGATTAGCCCTGAGCTAACTACTGCCAGTCCTCCTCTTTTTGCTGAGGAAGCCTGGCCCTGAGCTAACATCTGTGCCCATCTTCCTCTACTTTATAGGCGGGACACCTACCACAGCATGGCGTGCCAAACGGTGCCGTGTCCACACCTGGGATCCGAAGCGGCGAACCCCGGGCTGCTGAGAAGTGGAGCGTGTGAACTTAACCGCTGCGCCACCAGGCCAGCCCTTCTAATGCATTCTTGATACTTCAGAACGAGTGATATTTTATTTTATAATTTATATTTAAGAATTATCAGAAGGATACATGTAGATAGTTTAAAAATTGAACACTAGAGATGTATTTTAATAAAACCTTCATGCCTTCCCTTTACTCCAATGGAACATACACACATACATATATAACCAAGAAAATACCCATAAATTCCTATTTTATTGGGTGATTTTAACATGAATGGACTCTAAATTATGTTCAATGCCTTTTTTGGGTGGGAAATCTAAGAATCAATGAATTTATAAGGATTAAAATCAAATCATACAAAGTTTTTCCACTGACCAAAATGAAGTTGTCAGAAATCAAGGCAAAAACACATTAACCAATATTTGTAAACAAACCAAAAAACCACACTTCTTCTCAATAAAATGTAGGTCAGCAGAAAAACCAGGAGAAACTTTAGAAAGTATTTTGAGATAAATTAAATAAAACACAATACATCACAAAATATGCAGTGCATCTAAAACAATGTTTCAATGGACAATTACGGCGTTAAATTCATATACCAGAAAAAGGGAAAGATCTCAAATCAATGGACTAAGATTCTAAGCAACTGGAAAATTGAATAGATATTTAAGCCCAAATTAAGCCAAAAAAAGTAAATAATAAAGATCATAGTAGAAATCAATGGTATGCAAATCAGAAAAATGATAGGGAAAATCAATGAAACAAAAATATAATTCTTTGGGAAGGTCACCAGCTGGTAAATCTCTAACGAGGCTGATCAGGAAAGAAAACATAGTTTACAAACATCAAGAATGAGAGAAGGGCCATCTCTACAGATTGTGCAGAAATTAATATTGTAATAAAAAGAACATATGAAAAATTTTATCCTTATAAATTGGACTACTTAGATAAAATGGGAAAATTCTTTGAAAAATATAAAGTACAAACTACCAAAGTTCTCTCAAGAAAGTGGAATAACCCAAAACAGCCCTATATCTAATAAAGAAATTGAATTTGTAGCCAAAAACCTTTACATAAAGTAAACTCTAGGCCCATGTGTTTTCAACTGGCAAACTCTTCCAAGAATTTAAGAAAGACATAACATCATTACATAAACTGTTCCAGCAAATAGAAGAGGAATAAATACATCTCAACTCACTGTACAATACCATTATTATCCTTTACCAAAATCAAAGACACTACAAGAAAACTATAGACCAATATCCCTCATGAACAGTTACAAAAAATTCTTAACAAATTTTAGCATATCAAATCTGACAATATAGAAAAAAAGAATGCAGCATAACCAGATGGAGTGCATACAAGAAATGCAAGTCTGCTTTAGCATTCAAAAATCAGTCAATGTAGTTCACCATATTATCAGACAAAAACAACAAAAAATTAGCCACTGAATTAATGTAAAAAATATATTTGACAAAATCCAACACCTATTCATGATAGAAATTTTCAGCAATCTAGGTAAGGAAACTTTCCCAGTCTAACAAAAGGCATCTAAGAAAAGCCTACTGCTAAGAACAAGTTTACTGGTGAAAGTACTAATGCTTTCCCTCTAAGATTGAGACGAAGGCAAAAACTTCTGCTTTCACCATTTCTGTTCAATATAATACTGAATGTTCTATCCAGTGCAAAGAGCAAGAAAAAGAAATCATGGGCATGTCAATTGGAAAAGGCAAAAAAACCCTGTCTTTATTATAGATAACACGATTGACTCTATAAAATGGGGATTAGCTAACTTTTTCTGTAAAGGGCCAGATAGTAAACATTTTATCTTTGTGGTCTAAGAGACAAAATCAAGGATATTATATAGATATATTAATAACTTTCCAAAATGTAACCATTTAAAAATGTAAAAATCATTCTTAGTCCACAGATTGTACACAAACAGTGGTTGGTTGAATTTGGCCTACTAGTCATAGTTTGTCAGTACCTATAACAGAACATCTTGTAGATGCTACAAAAAATCCAGTATAAGGAAAAAATGAGTCTAGCAAGGTTGCAGGATACAAGTTCAATAAAGATGATCAATTTTATTTCTATACACTAGCAATGAACAACTAAAAACTGAAATTTAGGACGTCAGCAACATGGCGGAGTGAGCTGTTCCCTTTGTCTCTCCCCATTTTGAACTACAACTAAATGGACATTCACTGACCAATGGAGGAAGCCCACACAGCACAACAGGATACCTGAGAGACACATGCAGCTATACATCTGAGGGTGGATGGACTGGCTCCTCCACCAGGAAGTGGAAGAGCTAGGTAAGCATGCCCTGCTCTCCCCTGTAGCCTGCTGCATGCACATGAATGATTTCCAAATTGGTGCAAACACCTAGGAAGTGGGAACACACACTGGGGTGATGTAGGAGGAAGCAGTGATAACTGTTAGCCAGGGCTCATGGTTGCTCTCCTGGCAGGAGGAGGAATCCACCATGACCCTGTGCTGTCAAGGAGCAGCCATAGCATGGGTTCCAACAAGGAAACCCCGTCCTCCATGCACAGAGGCCCCACAGACCGTGGACCCAACTGTAAACAGAGTCCATAACAGATCTAAGTGCAGGAACAAATGCTACCCAGGCACATGGGAGTGCTCACAGTCCTGCTGAGCGCCCAAAGAGGGAACATGCCCTGGGTGGCTTCGGGAATAGGTACAGTAGCTTTGAGTCCCCTTGGGTTCACTTTCCTAGTGGGGTGAGGGAGCCTGCTGAGCCCCTGTGCCATCAAGGAGCAGCCCTAGCTCATGCCCCAGTGAGGAAACCCCACCCACCAAGCACAGAGGCCCTGTGGACCACAGGCCAGACTGTAAACAGAGTCCACAGCAGACCTAAGTGCTGGAGCAAATGCTACCCAGGCATTCACCAGCACTCACAGTCCTGCTGAGCCCCCAAAGAGGGAACATGTCATGGGTGGCTGGGGGAAGAGGCGGCTGCAGCTTTTAGCCCACTGATGATCACTTTCTGGTGGGGAGAGGGAGCTCAGAGTGCCCCTGAGGTGCCAAAGAGTGGCCCTAGCCCAGTGAGGAAGACCTCCCCACCAAGGAAAGCCCACACTAGTGCCTCAACAGCTCTCCAGGCTGGGGCAAGCACCTGTAATACCCTACAGCTCCCATCAGACCGGTGGGGCCAGAAATTCTGCTCCTCCCTAGAGGTAACCGGGGGAATCTACATCCTAAGAATGACACAAATGCCCTGACAAAAGATTAGCTCATCAAGCACCATAAGAAACTGCAGCAACAACTCAGACCAGAAGGAAAATGTCAACTTTCCAGAAACCAACACTGAAGACACAGAAATATACAATCTAAATGACAGAGAATTCAAAATAGCTGTCATAAGGAAACTCAATGACTTACAAGAAAACATGGACAGACAATTCAAGGAGCTCAGCAATAAAATGAATCTCTTCACCAATGAGACTGAAACTATAAAAAAAATCAAGCAGAAATTCTGATATGAAAAACACAATTAATGAAATAAAAATAATCTAGAATCATTAAGAAATAGAAATGATCATATAGAGGAAAGAATTAGCCTTCTTGAAGATAAAAATGTAGAAATTCTATAGGTGGAGGAGGAGACAGAATTAAGGCTTAAAAAAAATGAAGGAATTCTTTGAGAAATATCCTGTTCAATTAGGAAAAGCAACATAATGATTATAGGTATTCCAGAAGGAGAGGATAAGGAGAAAGGAGAAAGGAGCAGAGAGCTTGTTCAAAGAAATAATTGCTGAGAACTTCCCAAACCTGGGGATGGTTTCAGATTCACAGATAAATGAAGCCGATCATATGCCCAACTTCATCAATGCTAGAAGACCTTCTCCAAGGCATATAATAGTAAAAATGGCAAAAGTTTGTGATAAAGAAAGAATATTAGAAGCAGCAAGGTAGAAGAAAATAACCTACAAAGGAAACCCTATCAGGTTTTCAGTGGATTTCTCGGCTGAAACTCTATAGGTTAGGAGAGAATGGAATGATATATTCAAATTAATGAAGGACAAAAACTTTCAGCCAAAAATACCCTATCCAGTGAAACTTTTCTTCAGGTACAATAGAGAAATAAAAGCTTTCCAAGATAAACAAAAGGTGAGGGAGTTCATCGCCACTAGACCTCCCCTACAAGAAATAATTAAAGATGCCCTCAAACTAGCAATGAAAAGGAAAGCTCTACAAAGCTCTGCACAAGGAGATAAGTAGACAGACATGATCAGAAACCTTCAGCTCCCTACCAGAACAAGGAGGCAAAGACTCAATTACAACTTAAAAGAGGAAGGGAAAGAAAGCATCAAAATAATTATAAACACTTCAACTTAGCCACAAACTCACAAAGTTAAAAACAAAACAATTTTTAATAGCAATCACTCAGAAGGGGAGAGGAAAGGGAAGAAACCTGTTTAGGTTAGTGGAGGTAAGAGGCTATAACAAAATGGACTATCTCATCTCCAATATCTCTCATACAATTCCCATGGTAACCACTAAACAAAAAATCAAAGCAGAGCCACAACTCACAAAAAGAGAGAAAACTGAGAAATCCCCCTCAGAAAACCAACAAAACAAAATGGCAGTCAGAAATACAAAGGAAGAGAAACAGTGGAAACATAGAACAACCAAAAAACAAGAGATAAAATGGCAGCATTAAGCCCTCAAATAACAATAGCCACTCTAAATATCAACGGATTGAATTCTCCAATCAAAAGACATAGAGTAGCTGGATGGATTAAAAAACAAGAGGCAACAATATGCTGCCTCCAGGAAATGCACCTCAGCTCCAAAGACAAACAGAGGCTTAGAGTGAAGGGATGGTAGACAATACTCCAAGCTAATTACCAACAAAAGAAAGCAGGTGTTGCCATACTTTTATCAGACAAAGCAGACTTCAAGTTAAAAAAGACAATGAGAGACAAAGAGGCACAGTATATAATGACAAAAGGGACATTCCACCAAGGGGAAATAATGCTTATTAATATATTTGCACCTAACACAGGGGCACAAAAGTGTGTAAAGTAATTATTAAGAGACCTAAAGGGAGAAATTAACAGCAACACAATAACAGTAGGGGACCTCAACACCCCACTCACTTCAATGGATAGATCAGCCAGACAAAAAGTCAACAAGGAAATAGTAGATTTAAATGAAACACTTGACAAGATGGACTTACTAGATATACGTAGAGCATTCCATCCAAAGACAGAAGGATATACATTCTTCTCAAGTACCCATGCAACATTCTCAAAGATAGACCATATGTTGGGTAACAAGGCAACCCTCAATAAATTTAAGAAGATTGAAATTGTCCCAACATTTGTTTTGACCACAGGGCTATGAAGCTAGAAATCAACCACAAAAACGAAACTGGGAAACTCAGAAATATGTGGAGACTAAACAACATACTACTGAACAAACTCTGGATCATTGAAGAAATCAAAGGGGAAATTAAAAAATACCTGGAGACAAATGACAATGAAAATACAACATACCAACTCTTATGGGATGCAGCTAAAGTGATCATAAGAGGGAAATTCAGGGGCCAGCCCAGTGGTGCAGTGGTTAAGTGCATACGTTCTTCTTTGGCGGCCTGGGGTTTGCCAGTTCGGATCTTGGGTGTATAAAGTATAAAGTAGAGGAAGATGGGCACGGATGTGAGCTCAGGGCCAGTCTTCCTTAGAAAAAAGAGGAGGATTGGCAGATATTAGCTCAGGGCTAATCTTCCTCAGAAAAACAAAAGAGAAAAGAAAAAGAGGGAAATTCATAGTAATACAGGCCCACCTCAACAAGCAAGAAAAATCTCAAAATATGCAATCTTAAATGCACTTAACAGAGCTAGAAAAACAACAGACAAAGCCCAAAGTCAGCAGAAGGAGAGAAATAATAAAAATCAGAGCAGAAATAGATGAAATAGAGACTGAAAAAACAGTAGAAAGGATTTAAGAAACTAAGAGCTGGTTCTCTGAGAAGATAAAAAATAATTGACAAACCCTTAGCCACACCCACCAAGAAAAAAAGAGAGAAGGCTCAAATAAATAAAGTTAGAAATGAAAGAGGAGAAATTACAACAGATACTGCAGAAATACAGAGAATTATAAGAGAATACTATGAAAAACTATATGCCCACAAATTCTATAACCTAGAAGAAATGGATGAATTCCTAGACTCATACACCCTCCCCAAACTTAATCAAGATG